GAGAATAGAGATAGAATGAAGCAGAATGATGAAAAAGGGGTCCCTATGTCCTCCAGCAGTCTAAGCCTATAGCAGCAGAACTATAGAGGTAGAATGAAGCAGGTTGATGAAATGGAACTTCTTTATTTTGGCTGAATTATATCACCCATTAGAAGCAGCGTCTGACCAGAACATTTATTAATATTTATTCCACCTTTACTAGAATCTATGTTCAGAGTCTGAAAGGAGACTTTTAGCTCTGAATGCTTCTCTGCTGAATTAATTTTCTTTATTAATTAATTAGTCAACAGGCGGCCCCATCACTGCCAACAGTGAATTATTCCTCCATTTAGAAGCTACTGGCAGCATTTTAACCCTGCATTGATGAAGAGCAGAGGGTTAGCCCTGTTAGCTCACTGTTAGCTTCCATGTCTGCTCAATAGAACATGAACTCACCGCTCCTGCAGGGTAGAAATAAACACACTAGATGCAAACAGATGTAGAGATAGAGCTTAATGTCCAGAACATCAGTTTTTCAGCAAAAGCCGCAACGTTTTTTTCAACGTTTCCCAGCAACAATACATACAGACGAGACATCCTGCTTCTTACAAACTCCTCCCACTTCCTGGATATCGTCCAATGACAGAGCAGTAAAGCTCTACACCACTTCCTCTTCTGTTCCCTTTAAAATAAATTAAATATGAAGCAAAGTCTGTTTTTGTAATAAAACCTACTTTATATTTTATATTTATTTATTAAGCTTCTCATATCATAATGTTTAAGTTTTCAATAAAGAAGCTTTACAACTTATCTTTGATGTCTTTCGACGTGTTTAATAAGAAGTTGAAAATATTACTCTCTATATAACCATTTGAAATTAAACTTTTTTCGACTCAAAAATTCTATCTATCTATCTATCTATCTATCTATCTATCTATCTATCTATCTATCTATCTATCTATCTATCTATCTATGATCTTAATATATTCAAATGTAACTTTAGCATTTGAATTCTTATCTGTAGGTGTTGTAGGAAGAAAAAGATGAAAACAAAAGAGAAGTCATCTCTGATGTCATCAGAAAGATGGCGCTGCACTGGAGGGAGAAGATGGATTTCATCCTGGGTTCTGTGCACCGACTGGGACCAAACACCAACCGGCCTCGTCAGATCATCCTGCAGTTCACAGGATGCCACTTCAGGGACGAGCTCTGGAGGATCACCAACCTTCATCCTGTCTGCAAAGAGCTGAACATCCGCCTGGCAGAAGATCTCACCAAGGAGGACAGGGAGGCACAGACGTCCTGTGTGGCCCAAAGTGGAGCAAGCAAGGAAAGCAGGACTAAAGACGGTGCTCCTGGGCCCCCATGCCTTCATTAATGGACAAAGAGTCTCACCAGAGACACAACCGTCCAGGGGTTAGAATCCCCAAAATAAGTTGATTCTGAGTGAAAAAGTATTTTCAAGGTTTTGCTACTATTATATCTTCCTAAAAGGAAACCGTTACTGTTCTAATCTCAGCAATCTAGGGTTGTTGATTGTTTTTGCTCTATGTTCAGTTTAAAGACCAATATTCTTCTATTATCTATAAATGCACAGTTTAAGAGACATAAAGAGAAAAAGTATTTTTTTATTATGTAAAGGGAAGAAGACAAATATAATTTTTGTGCAGGAAACACATTCTAAGGATGATGATGTCCAAACAGTGGGGAGATGAAGCTTAGATTAGCGATGGTACTCCAAGATCAGCAGGTGTCGCCATCCTCCTAAATAACTTTAAAGGTCAGATTGTGTCCCATATAGCAGATGAGTATGGTAACTGGATCGTTCTTATTAACATTGATGCTCTAAAATTCAATTATTCAACATTTATGATACAACGTCCGCAGAGAAAACAGAAACCTACCTCATCAAATTGGCTCACATTTAGATAATCTCAGATTAACACACTCAACGGATAGCGTCATAATTGATGTTGATCTAAACCAAGTTCATTTTTTTAGTTTTTTAGATTTTTTAGATAAATATCCTAGTAGATTCTCACCCAAACACCACATTCACAAACTTTTATGAAAAACATAACTTGGTTGATACTTGGAGACATTTAAATCCAGGATTATTTAAATAATTCTGGTTTAGTCCGAAGCATAACTTTAAATCCAGAACTGATCACTGGCTGATTGCTGATCATTTACTATTATATAATATTAGCTCTGATATCTCTGCTGCACCTCTAACAGATCATCTTACTGCAGATCAATGTCCACTCACACACATACTGGAAGTTTAACTCTGCTTAAAACAACGACTACAGCCAGAAAATTAAATCATTAATTAAAGAAATATCCAATTCGGAAGAACAAATAAATGCTACCAAAAAGTGAGAATTTTAAAAATATAAAATACGCCTATTTACCATTTCATTCAGCAAAATGAATAAAAAAAAGATATGGAAAAACAAGAAGTAGACGTTTTTAATCAGTTAAATATTTTCTGCCGACTGAAGACGACAGAAGATTCTAAACCTCCAACCTAAACTAGATTA